CTTCCCCCAATTCCCCAGCGCTGTTCCCATCTCCCAATTCCCCAATTAAAAAATTCCAAAGAACAGAAATAAAATGTATAAATTCTAAATCTGTAAAGGAAAGTATGGAACAGGAAAAAAAATAGAATATAAAAAACTCAACATATTCCCCCAAAAAAATGCAAGAAAGGAGGAAAAAAAGAGCATAGGAAAGGAAGGACAAACTGAAACTACAAAGGAAGATAATAGGAACATGTGCAAATATATCAATAATCAACGAGTGTGAATAGAAGGAACTGACAAGACAGAGGTTGTCAGGGTAGATTTCCAAGACATTCCTAAATCATTAGGGCACAGAATTATTGAAAATAAAAGGATGGTGTATATATAAGCCAGGAAATTGGAATGGCTACAGTAATATTACAAAATAGATAAGGTAAAACAAAACCAATATCTGGGAATAAAAGAGGCATTACACTAAAAAGAAAAATATTCAACACACCAGGAATCTATAACAAGTCTAAACATGGAAGCAAATTTTAAAAACCTCAAAATATATATCAAAAAATTGATAAAACTACAGGGACCTATCAATAAACCCACAATTTTGGTGGGAACTCTAAATGCACTAGCTCAAATATTAATAGACTTATAACATTTATATTGTAATATAGTAAAGATTTAGAAGACTCTAACATAAATAAGTTTGATTTAATGAATATATAGAACTCAGCATCCAAAAATTAGAAAAAAATGCAAACTTATGAAGATACAATGAACATTTACAAAAATTGAGCACATACAACACCATATAGCAATTCTCAAAATACTTCAAAGAATTTAATATAAACCATATTCACAGACAACAATGCAGTTAAGTCAGAATTCAATAGTAAAAGATAGTGCATGCCTAGACCCTATTCGTCTGTGCAACTGCAGTCCTAAATTACAGTTTGAACAATTCCAACAACCAGGTTTAGCATGCCAGCAACACTCCTGGGTTAGCAATCAGTCTATGACAACCCCAGATAGACCCTCATTGATCTCCAATGGACACATTGTTTCAGCTAATATTTCAAGGAGCTTCACTATGGGTCAAAAGAGAAAAGGAATAAAAGGAACGTATAAATCTACTTCTGACACATGCAATATGTACATTTAACTATCCTAAAGGTAACTCACACACACTGAGATAACTACTATCAAAAAACAAACAAACAAAACATCAAACAAACCAAAAATAACAAGTGTTGATGAGGATGTGGAGAAAGTGGAACACTTGTGCTCTCTTGGTGGGAATGTAAAATGGTACAGCCACTATGGAAAACAGTATGATGTTTCCTCAAAAGATTAAAAATAGAATTACCATATGTCCCAGCAATCCCACTTCTGGGTACATATCTGAAAGACTTGAAAGTAGATATTTGCTCCATTTACAATAGCAGCCAAAAGCATAAAATATGTAAGAATAAATTTTACAAAAACATGTTCAAGCCTATAGACCCAAACTATAAAACTTTGCTAAATCTATAACTTCCATTTCACTTTTTTTTNCAAAGAGAACTGAAAGGTAGAAATGCTAAGGGCAACCCAGACCCATGACCAGGGGGAAAACATCATATTTAAATGCAAAGGTCAGCTCAGTTAGAACGTTTGCGAAGGAAAATTTAAATTTATATGGGTATAGTAGAGATCTCACTTTTTATGAGAAAATAATAGTCAATTCCTACCATAAATTAAAGGTCTAATTGATACAGCGCAAAATACAGTGTTGATTGGTCATTCATTATTCATTCATTGAATTTGGAAACACTGTATACTACCTCCCCAAATTAATTAGATATTTTAACTTTGATTAGGGTGGATATGAATACAACTCAAATATTAACCTTTCTTATTCTTGTTTGGCGTATGTGAAATGTGAGAACAATAAAGAAATCTTTGCCAGATGAGAAAACAAAGTCCAGAAGATCTCTTAACTACCATTTATTTTAATGAGAGAAATGGCAATAATAGGGAATAAAATGTTTTTATTCTATAATATGGCCTTATAGTTACATTTAATGAAATTTGTATATAGCATTCTGAGAACTGATAATTCTTTTAGACAGATAATAAAACAATACCGCAAAGAGCAATTTCTGGAAAACCTGGGAAGTTGTTCAGTGTCTCTGTTTGCTCCTTGTCAGCCCATTTCTGCATTGGGGTAAAAGTCCTCTCTTCTTTTTGCACCAGGACTGAGATGGACAACACTGCTTTTCTTAAATATGCAAAGTGCCAGACTAAGCACAATGAGTCTTTTTATTCTAGGCTCAAAATTAAAATTTCACATTACTGAATGGCCTGCATTCAAAATAAGTACTCAGAAAAGCAAATAGAAATACAATAAAGCAAACAGACTAAATACTATATATTCATAGCATTTCACTGAACCAACCTGAGTAGCTGGGATGCAAATAAAAAACTTGATTCTTCTCCTGCCGACACTTCAAGCTTGCTATGTGGGACAGGTTCTTATAATCTCTGGACTGATATCTTGAGTGAATCTCACAGTGTTCCCATCCATTTAAATCATAAGAGCAGTCTCATTTCAGTAAGGAAACTGTCTGATCTAGTGTAATACTGAAAACTTCAAATTCTTCTTCACTTGGAGCATCTCCCTCCATCCCAGCTCAGTACTTCTTTGGTCTGGAATCCAGTGGTGGGTAAAGGGCTTGTGGTTGGCTTCTTCTTGCTGACCAGCTCCTCCCCTATCCTGCTGTTTCTGACTCTCCAGAAATGGTCCCAGGCAGGAGAGAGGATAAGGAGAAAGCAGTTGGTACCAATGTGAGCTTGCCCGCTGAGCTTGGCAGTTATTCACTGCTTCCTTTTACTCGCAGTGGGTACATCTATGGGTTTCTTGGAGATTCCCTCACTGGAACTTTGCAGTGGTGATTCATGAGGCAAAGGAATTCTTGTCCTTCAAGTTCCCTTCAAGCTGGTTCGGAGCGCTCTCTCTTTCTGGTTCATTGGCCCATAGGACACAGAAGACCATTCTTGCTTTGTCCAGGTTGGTCTTCCCTGCCCCTCTGACTGTTCTGATTCACAGCCTTTCTTATCAGCCCTATGCTCTCCTAAACTCAGGAAGCACAGGTCAGATCACCTCTTGAAGCCCCTCGCTGCTCAATGGCATTCCAGCAATTCTCTTTAAAGGATTTTTTTCTCTCTCAAAACGCTTAAGCTCCTTTCTTCAATCCTTAGTCATTCTTTTTCTTTTCTTGATTTACATCATGAGCTAAGGGTCGCAAACTCAGTTTTCAGAAATCTTCTTAGCAAACCCTTTACTGTACCCCCTTACTTAATGAGGATTTTGGCACCTGTTTGATTCCTCTTGTCTGAGACCTCACCTGAGCCTGAGGCAGAAACAGTCCCATTCTAACATTCTGTTACATAAACCAATTAGAAAAATAGCTTTACCTGAGGATGATACTTACCAGGAACAAACATCAAATAGAAAAAAATATATCAATATTCACAGACTGGATGTGGAGCTGAGTTTCGTGTCCTCTCTCCCTTGTGCTGACAGGGACCAGTTGGGTAAGATGTCCTACACCACAATGTGTATCAAGGAGTCTCTCCGATTGATGCCTACCATCCTCTCCATTTCCAGAGAACTCAGCAAGCCTATTACCTTCCCAGATGGACGATCCTTGCCTGCAGGTCTTTGATTTCTTTTCCTATGCAGTTTCTAGAGACCATGGGATTCTGGGGACACTAAAAAGGCCCGGGGATTTCTCAAGTCTTGGAGAAGTCTTGGCGATCCTTAGGGCATCTGGCTTAAGATTGGGCACCTATTAAGTAAGAGCTCAGTAGGTAATGCCTTGATCAGTTGTGGGTTTCAGAGACTTTCCCACAGGCACATAGCTATTTGCAGCAAAGCTATCCCCAGAACCTATGTCACCAGAATCAGAATACAGGGTTTCTTCCATTGTGGGACATTATTTCTAAGATAATCCTTGTTTGGCTGAGTTTCAAACTCACGTGAGACTTCATGGGAGATGAACACCATTATGTTTATATAGAAGACCCAAGAAAAGCCTTTGGCTTCATCATCGTAATAATATCACCCTAATAAGTGTGCAGCACTTACTAGTTTACATAGAGCCTCAAATATGTTATCTCAATTTTTCTCCTGAAACATGATCTTAGCAGACACTTATATAGTGCTTGGAAATTTACAAAGGACTTTCAACTACTTTTGGTGTAGCCAAAAACCCACTTGGGAGACTCCAGTGTGCAGTGAGCAGAGCTAGACTTCACACAGAAGTCCCAAGCCAGAACCCAGTGCTCTTAGAGCAACACAGGTTTCTGAGCAGGGTGAGTGGGATGCAGAGGGGTCACGTGAGACACCCTTCACTTAGCTGCTTCAGTGTTCTATTAACTCTTGCCATTGGAAACAAGCTGACAGGATTGCTCATAGCAAACACCAACAACGTGTCACTTACTGTGACTTTGTTGACAGATCAAGAATTATTTCTGGTAACCAAATCATCCTAAATTGTCTCTCCTCTGTCTTTTTTTTAAATCCCTAAACTACGTGGCTTTAGCCAAAATTCCCTGCCTTTTGTGAATAAACAGCACCAGCAGAAACTTATCATTGGATTTACACAATGGAATTATGGTTCTGTTCTTATGTACCCAAACTTTATTGAGTGGGTGCTTGATAGTGCATTAATAGATGTACAGTAGTCCCCCCTCAACAATGGTTTTGCTTTCCATGGTTTCAGTTACCTGCAGTCACCTGAGGTCCAAAGCCCTTGTTTTACTTAATAATGAGCTCAAATCACAAGAGTAGTCATGCTGGCAATTGGATATGCCAAAGAGAGACTGTGAAGAGCTTTTTAAAAGAGAAAATGTAGAAGTTCTCAATAAGGAAAGAGAAAAAATTGCATGCTGAGTTTGCTAATATCTATAGTAAGAATGAATCTATCCATGAAATTGTGAAGAAGGAAAAGAAATGTGTGCTACTTTTGCTGTCACACCTCAAAATGCAAACGTTATGGCCACAATGCATGATAAGTGCTTACTTAATATGAAAAAAGGCATTAAATTTGTGGGTGGAAGACATGAACAGAAAACATGTTCTGATTGACAGCAATGTGTTGTGCCAGAAAGCACTAAGCTTACCCGAAGACTTCAGCTAGGGATCCCTGAAATGAATGACATTAAGCCATTGTCTGCATTCAGGGATGGTTACACAGATTCAGGAATAAGCTTGGCATTTTATGATCTCACATCATCACAAGACGTATGAGTATAGTAAAATAACGTATTTTGAGAGACTACATTCAAATAACTTTATTACAGTATATTGTTATAATTGTTCTTTTTTATTAGTAGTTGGTGTTAGTATCTTACTGTGCCTAATTTGTAAATTGAACTTTATCATAGGTATGTATGTATAGGAAAAAACATAGTAGATATACAGTTTGGTACTATGTGTTGTTTCAGGCATCCACTGGAGGTCTTACAACATACCTCATTAATAAGGAGGGACTACTGTATAAGTAATTTCCAGAGGCAGCAGAAAACATAAGCATGGGTTATCATTTTGACACGATACCGATAGCTTTTTCAGATAGAATCATGGATTCAATAGAGCATTGCTTTGAAAACTAAGGTGACATCAAACTGCATCCTTCCATGGGTCCTTCACTGCTGGCATCAGCTACAGCACACAGAGTTCTGCCAGCAGCTAGCTCTTTCTCTTCCAAAAGAGAAGTCTTACTAAAGAATGATATACCAGTAGCCTACTGCTTGCTCTTTCTCCTGCAATATCCTTGATTTCTTTCCTTTCTCAGGAGTAACTGTGGTTCTCAGTATTTGGGGTCTTCACCACAACCCTGCTGTCTGGGAAAACCCAAAGGTATGACTGTCTTAATCGAAAATACTTAAAAGAACTATGCTGTGCAATGCACTTTTTGTTAGCTGTGCATGGAAGTGGCAAATGATACCGCAAACAAAAATACACATAAAAAACAAAAATGTAAGACTTTTCCACAGAAGAAAAACTATCCTTTTCCCTATTGCTACTTTATCTTTGCTTGAATGAATAAACCAGCATAATGCCACACAACCTGCTCTAAACTGCCACAGTCATTTACTTAACAAGCTCTACCAAGCGCTTACATAGATATCAGCAAGAGTGTAGACTGTCAACAGTAATTCAGGTAACCCAAACTCCCTTTTGCTGGATGTAACAATCAGGGTTCTGGCAGGAAATCAATGACATACTTGCATTGAGCAATTTGAGGTGTTATGAAGGAACTATTGAAAAAGGTGTGGGTTAGGGTTTTGGAAAAGCAAAATGGAGCAAATAACCGTAGAAGTGCTTACCACTTCTAGGCCTGATGGGACAATGGAGAGAGGATTAAAAACCTGGATAGAGAGCTCGTAGGAAAGGCCAAGAGGCAGGAATGGTGGCCATCAGCAGAGCGTGCAGTCAACCTGAGATAACCTGGTAGGGAGGGACTCAGGGAATAAATATCCCGAATGCGCTCTTCTCCCACCCTCCAGATCTCTTATCAATCCCGTTTCTTGGTCAAACCCAACAGGGCAACATGTGGGTCAGCTTCTTGGAGCCCAGAGCAAAGTGATTTGGAAGGGAAGAGAAAGGACCTGGAGAGGCAAAAATAAGATATGGAACCTACCTGAGTTCCTTGATTCAGTGTCCTCTAAACTTTGAACACAACATGTACAAATGCTTCCTTTTACATAAGCTGCTAGGGTTTAAGATCTGTTACACGTAAGGGAAAGTTGGACTGCATGTCTCAGTAACAACTGATCATATAATCATTTTCGGCTTGACTTCAAAGTAGGTGCACTCTTACCTCCAGAGTGAAAAATAATACCACTGGCCATAGTATTTCTGCTTTCCCCTTACTTAGCCTGGGTAGCGGACTAGTCAATTGAGAGGCCAGCCAAGGCCACAGGTCTAGAGTTGCACGGCCCAAGGTGGCAGCCATTAGCCACATGTGGCTGTTGAGTCCTTGGAATGTGGCTAGTCAGAATTGAGATGTACTGGAAATATAAAATACACACTGGATTTTTAAGATGTAGTACAAAAAAATGTGAAATATTTTCTTAATCATTATTTATATTTGGTAGATGTTGGAATGATATTTTCTATTAAATAAATTGTATTATTAAAATTCATTTCACCTTTTAAAAATGTGACTACCAGAACATTTGAAATTACATGTGTGGCCCACAATATATTTCTTTTGATTAGTGCTAAGTAGTAGCTTAAGAAATGTGTTGATGGTGTTTGGGGACATTGCCCTCTCATTTCAGGTCTTTGACCCCTTGAGGTTCTCTCAGGAGAATCATAATCAGAGACACTCCCACTCCTTCTTACCATTCTCAGCTGGACCAAGGTGAGGACAACTTGAAGTTGTTGAAAATACACAAAAATGTTTACTTAGGGACAGCTTTTTTCCTTTAACCCCTCAGCTCTATTAATTCTTCCATGCAACCCCACCTTCTCACGTGACCATGAAGCAGAACTTACTGCCTATTTGAGCCTCTAAGAGGGCCAGTTAGTTTTACAGAGGACAGTGCCCTTCTCAATCACATCCTATATAGCCGTGCCTCAGAACACTATCCTATGATGCAAGCTGTTGCTCATAGGCTCAATGCAGTCTATCCCCACCGCAGGTGGGCTGCATTTATTTTTTTTCTAAAAATAGAAAAAATTATTATTATTTTTTTAATTGGGGAATTGGGGGTGGGGAACATTGTTGGGGAGTTGGGGAGGGGGACCAGCCAAGTTGTTCTTCAATCTTAGTTGTGGAGGGCACCAGTCGCCATCTGTCTGCCCATTGGCAGCTCGTGGCCTCTAAACTCAAGGTGCTTTGTTACAATCTTAGTTGCAGGTGGGCATAGCCACCATCCCATGCAGGAGTTGAATCAGCAGCCTTGTTATTAAGAGCGCATGCTCTATCCACTGAGCCATCCGGGCGGCAGCTCAGCTCAAGTAGCCAAGTTCAGTCTTAGTTGCAGGCGGGCATAGCCCACCATCAAACAGGCAGCCTTGTTGTTAGGAGCATATGCTCTCACCAGCTGAGCCATCCTGCCACCTGTTGGCAGCTCGGTGGCAGCTCAGCTCGGGAGCAGCATCACTAGCCAGTGTGGGAATCAAACCAGCAGCCGTGTTGCTCAGAGCTTGTGCTCTTAAGCTAACTCTTAACCAACTGAGCCATTCGGCTGGCCCCAAAATTATTATTTTTTAAATTTTCAGCTTTATTGAGGTATAATTGACAGATAAAATTGTAAGATCTTTAAAGTATACATCATGATGATCTGATATATGTGTACATTGTGAACAAATTTCTCCCCAGCTAGTTAATTAACACATCCTTCCCCTCACATATTTATCTTTGTGTGCATATGAGAAAGAGAGAGAAATTTAAGTTCTACTTCCTTAGCAAATTACAGTTATACAATATAGTGCTATCAACTGTAGTCACCATGTTTTACAACAGGTTCTCACAGGAGAAACAATTCTATGAGCAACTCTGGGTGCTACCTGGTTTAGCGAGGGCATCGCATTCTTGCAGGGAACGATGTAAACCCAAAGTACAAAAGTTTGTGTGGCACTGAGAATGAAAATGTTACTTTACTGTGAACATCAGACTTGTTATTCTAGTATCTTATTAAAGACTCAGAAGGAACACCATTTCTTCAAGTATCTCTTGTTTTCTCTTGGCGTCTACAGGAACTGCATTGGGCAGCAGTTTGCCATGATGGAGATAAAGGTGGCCATTGCTATGATTCTACCCCGCTTCCGGTTGACTCTAGATCCCACCAGGCCTCTTTCCTTCGAGCGCCAAATTCTCCTCAAACCCAAGAACGGGCTCCACTTGTACCTGAAAAAACTTCCTTAATGTTAGAGTCTAGGGTACAATGATTATATATATTTTGTTTTAACATTAAATTTACAACTAAGGGCCCAAGAAAATGAAGAGGAATCAAAGTATGGTGGGAAGGTTAGGGGTAGGTGGTGTGGGGGTCTCTGTGGAGCTGCATATTATCCAAAACCATCTCTGTTTCTGTATGACTTTGGGAGATCTTCAGATCTTTTCTGTTTGAGTTTGGCTACTATTAATGCTATATACCAAGAAGTTTGCTAGGTAACGTCCACACATGTTCTGCTGTTTTTAAAAACACTTTTCAGAATTACACAGTAGTAGGTGAATGTATTTCCAACAGTAGAAAGGCATGTAGGGTAAAAAGTAAAAATCGCATTTCCCATAGCATATACCTACTTCCCCAACCAATCCTACTGCTTTTCCTAAACACAGAATAGTTTGGTGTGCATTCTTTCAGACTTTTTCCTGTATACTTCATGTGTATGTATGTATTCTTATAGATGGGATCAAATCCATATTGTTCTTGCCTTTTTCATTTAATAAAAATAATACATCCCATTCCTAATCATGGCTTCATTCTGTAACATGGATGTACTATAACGTAACTCTTTTCCCATTATGGGATATTTAAGTTAGTTGTAGTTTTAAAAACATGCTTATTGGCCATTTGTGTTTATCCTTTTTTTGTTTTCTATGACTTGCACATCATCTATTTTTCTTTTCTATGGAGTTGTCTTTTTCTTAATTTCCACAACACCCCAATGAAGTGGGAGCTACTAATTATTCATTAAAATATTTAAATAACTGAGTGGCATCCTATCTTACCATATATTGTTGAACATTTTGTTTGCTTTAAATATTTTCTTTTATATCAATTTCACTTGTAATTACAGATATAGAGTATTACATACTAATATACTGATTTCATTTATGGATACAGATGTATGTACACACAGATACACCCACACATGTACACACACACACACACCCCATTATCAATTATACTTTATCCCAGGAATGCAATAATTGTCAAAATTAATTAGCAGATTAACAGATAAAACACAAAAAGATGATAGTAATATAATATATGCTGGAACACATTGGATAAGAATCAACATTTAATCTTGATTTCAAAATACTTTAGGAGCTAGTGATTGGAGAAGTTTTTCTAAATTTTATAATTTAGAACCCTAGAAACCTGTGGCCTTCATATTTATCAGTAATTACCTCAAAACATGCCCTCAATAGTCCAGACTGTTGCAAGAATGTTCTGGATACCACTGAAGACTTTAAGAAAAGAAAATAAAGAGACACATAATTGGAAGGAAGAACAAAAACTGTCATTATTAAAGCCAGGAGGGAGTGATTGGAATTAAAGCATGCTAAAATATATGTACCTTTTGGGCCGGC